GAATTGTATATTTAATTTTATCTTTTATTAAATAATTTTAAATTTGACCAGAGAGAGAGAGAAAGGGAAAGAAAAAGCTAGCCGCCAGGTCCAGGACTTGAACTGGGATCACCCATGTAGGAGTCTAGCACCTTAAACACCATGCTGCCTGCCTCCCCAGAGAATTATTTTTATAAATACAACTTGTATTTTCCTTCCTTCAACAGTATTTACATTTTTTTCTTTCATTTCACTATATATCTAATTCATGTAAAATTTTTTTCTTCCTAAACTTTGGTCTGGAATAGCTAAGACATTGTATAGTATAACATTCAATAGTAAAACATAGTTTTTTCAGACAAATAAAATTGGACTACTTCCTTTGCACAGAACCAGTGTTTTTTTTTGACTTCCAGGTATGGGTGCACATCTACCTTTTCCATAGAGGGGAGGAGAAGATATGTGCCTCCATGCTGCTCAGCAGTATTCATAACTTAGAATTTATTTTCTCATGAGTTTGATAGGAAACAATGATACTTGGAACAAGTAAGAAGCACGATTCTTCAGAAATATATTTTCAGGGCTGGTCGGTGTTGTATTTGTAAAATGTCGCTGCTCTGAGGATGAGCTACATGGGGAGGTTTGCAAGTCGGGAGGCCTCCCTGAGTACTCTGGAGCTACACTTGCCTGTAATCCAGGGCTGACTGAAGCTTGATTGCAATATCTGGACCCTATTAGGGGTTCACTCTCTCTCTGTCTCTCTTCCTCATAGAGCTGATATGCAAGTAAAATTTTTAAAAATTAGTTTAAAAAGGGAAAGAAAGTACCATGTAGGAGTGGTTTTTTTTTGTTTTTTTTTGTTTTTTTTTTTTGAGAGATTTTCACTGCAGGGCGCGTGCGCTCGCCAGACAGACAGAGAGAGACAGAGAGACAGAAAGCGAGAAATCCCCCCCCAGGGGGGATGGTCATACTGCAATCCCTTCTCCTCCATTCTCCTCTCGGGATCTTGGGCACGCACGCGCACGCGCCCGGTGTGAGTTTTAAGCCACCAGGTCCAGGACACGAACCGCGGTCGACTACATGGGAGTCCCGCGACATAGCCATTACGCTAACTGCTGGTTCCCAACAAGTATAGTTTAAGTCCCGAACCTGGCAGCTTGCTTTCTTACTTTTTTCCAATTCTGGTCAAATTAAAAATAAATAAATAGTTCTTTGAAAACTAGTTTAAAAATAAACTTTAAAAAATTAAATCTATGTTGATATAGTCTCTGGATTTTTACCATTTCTCTGAGTGTTTTAGGGAAAGGATAGGAAAAAGATGAAGGTGTAAGTCAACTAGCATCAGATTCTTGTAAAATTTATTATCATCTTACATTTCTTCCCCCAGTTTATTATGAAAACACATGGCAAGTTAGGACTTAATTTTTTTCCTTTTGAAAGCTGTCAGCACTCCCATGTTTCTCTCTTTTTTTTTTCTTTTTAAAGAATTATTTATATAATTCCATTTGTTGTTATTATTTTAAATTTTACCAGAGAGAGAAGGGGGAAGTGAGAAAGCAAGCCACCAGGCCCGGGACTCGAACTGCGGTCGCCATGTGGGAATCCAGCACCTTTAACCACCATGCCACCTGCCAGTCCCAGGACTTAATTTTTTTTGGTGTTTACTTACTTTATTCCTGGAGGGCCGTCCCCCTCTACAGGGTCTTGTCATGCCATGACCCCTGCCTTTCCTCCCCTGACGCTCCTTAATCCCCCCAACAAGCAAATCCTGTGCCATTTAAAAAAAAAAAAAAAAAGATAACAATGAAAGAAAAAAGAATTGGTTGAGAAGCCTATTTGAATTTCATGTTTGGACCCTTCTGCTCAGGATTCTGTATTTATGTCCACATGATTTTGATGCTGGTAAACTTGGGTTGAACTTTGAGAAGCTCAGTTTGAATCTTAAATCATAGGGTTAGCTAGAAAGGCCAAGATTTGCTTTATTGTGTTGTACGATTTGACCATATCCATTATTTTTTATTTAGAGTACATGTCCTTGAAATATTTTTTGGAGTAGTATGAGCTTGAATAATTCATGGTGTTTGCTTGTAGTCCTAGTGACTAGTTCATAGCATACACTCTATAGATTTTTGTCAGTGCATGTGCTCACCTCAGACAAAGAGAGGGAAAGTGAGAAATCACCCCTCAAAGAGGATGTCCATGCCATAATCCCTTCTCCATTCTCCTTGAAATTTTGAGAAAGCACGCACTTGGGCCTAGCGTGATTCTCTAGCTGCCAGGTCTGGGGCTCAAACTGTGGTCTGCCTCATGTGGGAGTTCCGTGCCTTAATTGTCATACCATCTTCTGGTCCCCATAATATAAACTTCAAAAAAAATTTTTTTTGCCAGAGGGAGTATTCATTCAAGGGGGATGGAGTGAAAAATTATTCTCTGTGGAGACTAGCCAATCTTCAATCACTTCCATTTATCTTATCTGCATTTTGGGTTTGTCTTTTGAGCCATCCTATAAGACACCAACAGTTGATTCAGTTATGTGGGATCCAGCTCCTTAACTAGATAACAAATTAATTAAAGTTTTTTCCTACTAATTTGGCATTTTCTTTTTTATTTTTAAAGAATTATTTATTTTATTATTATCATTAGTAGTAGTAGTATTTCACATGAGTTTTGCCAGAAAAAGACAGTGAGAGAGAGGAAGAGTGAGAAAGCAAGCTGCCAGGTCAGAGACTTGAACCATAGTCAGCCTTGTAGGAATTCCAGCGCTTTTACCACCACGCCATTTGCTGGCCCCCACATTTTCTTTTTTTTTTCCTTTTTCTTTTTTAGTTTTTTCAGTGAGTTTCTTTTTTTGTTTTTTTAAGAATTATTTTATTTAACTTTATTTATTATTATTATCATTATTATTTTCCAGTTTGATCAGAGAGAGACAGAGGAAGTGAGAAAGCAAGCCACCAGGTCCAAGACTTGAGCCGTGGTTGGCCATATGGGACTCCAGCGCCTTTAACCACCATGCCACTTGCCGGCCCCCGCCAGAGAGTTTCTCAAGTACTTGTGTGGTAGGCCATGTAAGATCCAGCTGCATTAAATACGATGCCATGGGCTGGTCTCTAATTTGTCATTTTCTATTAAAAACCACTTATCGGGACCAGCAGTTAGTGTAATGGCTATGTCTCTGAACTCCCATATATTTGACTGCGGTTCGCGTCCCAGACACAGTGACCTAAAACTCATGCCGGGCACATGTGTGTGCCCAAGATCCCGAGAAGATAATGGAAGAGAAGGGATTACAGAGTGGCCCTCCCCCCTGGGGGGTGATTTCTCACTTTTTGTCTCTCTGTCTCTATCTGGTGAGTGCACATGCCCTATAGCAAAAACCTCTCCACAAAAATCATTTTATTTTATATATTACTGTTTTTTAATTTGGCCAGAGAGAGACAGAAACAGAGAATAAAAAAGTGAGAAAGCAAGCTGCCAGGTTTAGGACTAGAACTGTGGTCCTCCATGTTGGAGTCTAATACCTTAACTGCTACACCACCTGCCAGCCCCTAAAAGTGAGTTTTGAAGACAGCCCCATGGCTTGGTAGTTAAAGCAGCCAGATCTCATGTAGCAGACCACATGGTTCAAGTTCTGGACCTGGCAGCTTGAGAAACATGCTGGGCATGTATGTGTGGATTCCCAAAATCCTGAAAGGAGGGAGATGGAGGAGAAGGGTTTGTGGTGTGACCGTTCTGTATGGATGATGCATCGTTCCCTTTCCTCTCTCTTTCTCTAGCCAGCACATAGGTTCTCTAGCAAAAAAAAAAAAAAAATTCAAATTCTTTAAGCCAGCAGTTCTGGACCTGGTTAAATTCTCCCCACTGTCCCACATACAGTGTCTAGAGATTGTCATGCTGGAGGGAGGTGTATAGTGGATAGAAGCTAGCAATTTTGTTAAGCAAAGAATGGCTTCTCAAATTTCCACCCTAAAACATCAGTGTGGCTGAGGTTTAGAAATCCCGCTTTAAGTATATATGATCATTATGTGATTAAGGGTAATTTTTTCCTCCTCATATATAATTGTATGCTAGATGAACATTTTGATGATGCAGAAAATTTAAATGCTACTTGAGAGATTAGTAAATAGATAAAGAGATTTAGAAAGCTGATTTGTTTCCCTGTGGAATTTAAAGGTTAATTTATGGCTTGGGATTTACAAATTAGAGGGAAAATGATTGCTCATCTGATAGCTTTCTGAACCTTGAATCATTTACAGTGTTCATGGGGCCCTGAATTCGTAACTAGAGATATATAATATGTGTAGTAATACTTTCTGTTTTTTTGTTGCTGTTGTTAACAATTTATCTTTTAGTTCCTGTTTCAGTAACATCAACTTTTTAAAAAACTTTTTTCTGGCTCTAGGGCATATGTGCTTACTGATGAGAGAGAGACAGACAGAAAGTGAGAAAGCACTCTCTCAGGGGTGTGGCCATGCTCTAGTCCTTTCTCTTCCATTCTCTCCAGATTCTGGTCACACTTGCACACGTGTCCAGTGTGTTTTTCAGGCTGCCAGGGCTGGGACTCCAGCCACTGAGTTGGCCATATGAGATCCAGCACCTTAACCACCATGCCACTTGTTGGCCCAACAATCTTGTTTTTCAAACTGTTAGGATCCAGTAGTGGGTTGTGAAGTTTGTGTAATGGGTGACATAAATATTATTGAAAGATTAAATATGGTAGAAAATAACAGTGCATCACATATAGCAAGAGTAACTTTTTGTGTACCTACAGTAATTATATATCCATGCATGCATGTGTTGGGTCATGATGTAAAACATTAATTTCACTCCTACCTAATCAGGAGTTGCTTGACTCAATCTTACGCATTTTTTTCTGCTTTCTAAAAAAAAGCTAACATTTCAGAATAAATTTAGGCTTCTTTTATGGAATTTTGAGTTTATTTAATGAGATTTATGTCCTTACTTGACAAAATTTAATGTTACACTAAAATATTTATGATTAATTCTAGCATAATTTATTTCAGATTAAATTTAGTGGAAGCCTTTGTAGAAGATGCAGAACTGAGGCAGAGTTTACAAGAAGACTTACTTCGTAGATTCCCAGATCTTAACAAACTTGCGAAGAAATTTCAAAGACAAGCAGCAAACTTACAAGATTGTTACCGACTCTATCAGGGTATAAATCAACTTCCTAATGTAATACAGGCTCTGGAAAAATATGAAGGTAACAAAATGATACTTTTTGTTGTTTTCCTTCATTCTTATAGTATATGAGGAGACTTCAAAGGGAAAGGGTTATTATAGTTTTTATCTTAGTAAATAATAAAGTATAAATAATGACTAAGTTATAGAATACTAATACTTAGCTTATTTGCCTAAATATTGTAGCAGTTTATGACATGTACAACTGTATTCTTAAAAATCAAATTTAGGAATTTGTAAATGAATCTTTTCAAAAAAATTTATTCATTGTCTCTATTTATTATTATTATTTTTTTTAAAGTTGACCAGAGAGAGAGAGAGAGAAGGAGGGAGGGAAAGTTAGAAACCAAGCTGCCAGGTTTGGTTCTCGAATTGCTGTCAGTGATGTGGAAGTTGAGCCACCTTAACCACCACGCCACCTGCTGGCCTGTAAATGAATCTTGCTGACTTTCTGACAGTGAGTTTAGTTCCCTTCTTTATTTTCTTGTTAAAGGATGTGTGGCCTGAGAGATAGAAAAACAAAAAGTGAGAAAGCACTCACTGTCCAATGGGAATGGTCATGCCACAATCCCTTCTTTTTTTCTCCCTCTTTTTGGGATTTTGGGCATGTGTGTACATGTGCCCAGTGTGTTTTTTAAGCTGCCACATTTGGGAGTTGAACCACACAGTCAGCTATGTATAATCCACAATCTCAAACTTGGTTTCTTAACAAAAATTATTTAATTACTTCATTGTTTGGACACTTAGCCTTCTGATGCATTTACAAAGTGAATAGTTGTTTCCTGCGCGATTTATTTATTTATTTTTAGGTTTTTGTGATAGGGTATGTGTGCTTGCTGGAGAAACAGTGAGACAGAGGGAAAGTGGGAAATCACCGCCCTGGAGGGTTGGCCATGCCACCATTCCTTCTCCAGGATTTTAGCATACACGAACACAAACCCAGTGTGATTTTCAAGCTGCCAGGTCTGGCCCTCATACTGTAGTTGGCCATGTGGTAGTTTAGTGCTTTAACCATCATGCCATCTGCTGGCTCCCTGTGTGATTTTTGAAATCTTTAGTAGATAAGTGTTTCATATATCAAAATGAAGAAGTGATTGAGAGCTTCATTGGTCTCTTCTTGGGACCAGCAGATGGCATAGTGGTTCAAATCCTGAACCCAGTGGCTTCAAAATCATGCTGGGGAGACCAGTAGTTGGCGTAATGCCTGTGTCGCTGGACTCCTACATAGTCGACCATGGTTCACGTCCCAGACCCGGTAGCTTAAAACTGATGCCCGGTGCGTGTGTGTGCGTGCCCAAGATCCCAAGAGGAGAAGGGATTGTGGCATGGCCATCCCCCCTTGGGGTGATTTCTCGCTTTCTGTCTCTCTGTCTCTTCTCTGTCTGTCTGGCGAGCATATGCGACCTATAGCAAAAACCTCTCCAAAAAAAAAAAAAAAATCACGCCGGACATGTGTGCATGTGTCCATGCCCAAGATCCCAGGAAGAAAATGGAAAAGGGATTGCAGCATGGCCGTATGCCCCTGCAGGATGATTTTGTGCTTTTATCTCTCTGTTTGTCTCTGTCTCTCTGGCAAGTGCATGTGCCCTATAGCAAAATTCTCTCTCATAAAAAATAAAGTCATTTAAGCAAATAGTTGGGCCAGTTGTATAGTGCTGTAGTTAAGCTCTGTGTTGAGGAAGCCAGGTCCCACATACTGACCAGGATTTTAATTATGGCCTTGATGGCACGCATCAGGCACCATAAAATTGGAAGACAACGGATTGCAATGTGACTGGGCCCCATTGGGAGGTGCTTTTTCTCTCTTTCCATTTTTATTTGTGTGTACCCCCTGGCATAAGAGCAAAATAAATAGCTATTGGTTGCTTATGATAGATGAGGTCCCTATTTGTGGAAGTTCTGTAAGAGTGGGATGATAGAGGGAGACAGAGAATTGAGACAGATAATCAGGAAATAAATGAGCAAGGATTTCAAATAGTAACATATAATAAAGAAAACATGATATTTGTGGATGTGATAAATTGACCTATCAGAGGACCAGGGACTATATCCAGTGATCACAGATGGCTTCTGAGACAGGAGTCCCTAACCCCAGGGCCTTACAGGGGCCTCACACTAGGAGGTGAGTAGCAGGCAAGTAAATGAAGCTTCATTTGTATTTTTTTTTTTTTTTGAGAGGTATTTTTTTGCCTCGCCAGACAGACAGAGAGAGAAAGAGAGACAGAAAGCTACAAATCACCCCCCAGGGGGGATGACCACGCTGCAATCCCTTCTCCATTCTCCTCTCAGGATCTTGGGCACGCACGCACACACTCCCGGCGTGAGTTTTAAGCCACCGGGTCCGGGACGCAAACCGCGGTCAACTACGTGGGAGTCCAGCGACATAGCCATTACGCTAACTGCTGGTCCCTGAGCTTCATTTGTATTTATTGCCACTTCCCATAGCTTGCATTATTCCTGAGCTGTCTCCTGTCAGATCATCAGCAATTTTAGATTATCTTAAAAGTGAACCTTATTGTGATATACATATGCATACTCCTTTTAAGAATTTAGTGCCAGGGGGTTGGCAGGTGTTGTGGTTAAGGGCACTGGACTCCCACATGATGGACTACAGTTTGAGTCCTGGACCTGGTGGCTTGCTTTTTCACTTTCCCTCTTTATCTTTCTCTCTCTCAGCATCTCTCTCTCTGATCAAATTAAAATAAATAAATAAATAAATAAATAAATAAAATTAAGTAATTCTTTAAAAAATATTTATTGCTTGATGATCTGAGGTTGAGTTGAGGCAGTGATGGTAGCACGGGGGAGCAGCTGCAAATACTGCATTATGTTGAGCTGTATAATATATATTACAGTGTAATAATATTAGAAATTAAGTACACAGTAAATGTAATGTGCTTGAATTATTTCGAAAACCATTCTCACCTGTCTTTGGAAAAATTGTCTTCCACAGAACCAGTCCCTGGTGTCACAAAGGTTGGGGACCACTGCTCTAAGCAGTTGGTATCTAAGTTAAGTCTTGAATGATGAAAAGGCTCAGCTTTTAGATTTGGTTGGGAGGGAGGCCTAACAGGATCAGTCAGGGTAAGTTAGTGAGGCTGACTTGGGCTTGATTTGTTGAGAGTGAAGGAAACCTAGAATGAAGGAAACCATAGAGGTAGAGGATACGTGTATGATCATAGGAGTTGAGGCCAGAGAGGGAAGGCCTAGTGAGGTTTTGAAACTTTTTTGTGCCATGGATCCCTTTGACTTCAAAAGAAGCCTATGAAACCTAGAATAGAATAGAGTTTTTTTTTTTTTTTTTTTTTTCCTTCTCTCTCTCTCTCTCTCTCTAAGATCTTTTTTGCTAACAAGTGTGTCTGCTTGCTGCTACGGGGAGAAAAAGAGAGGGGAGAAAGTGAGAAAGCATCCCACAGGAAGATGGCAACGCTGCAATCTCTTCTCTGTCATTTCTCCTCTCAGGACCCTGGATGTGCGTGCTCAGTGTGTTTTCCAAGCCAGCAGGTCTGAGACTTAAACTGCATGGTTAGCTGTGTGGGATCCAGCCGCCTTTACCTCCACGCTACCAGCAGACCCAGAAATAGTGTTTTTGAATGCACAAAATAAAACACATAGAATTACAATAGAAAGCAATCCTACTAAAGTACCATTATCAAAATATAAAACTTTTTTTCCCTTTATTTTTGAATGTATGCATGTGGACATACAAATGAAGAGAGAGAGAGAAGTAGGAGCACTCTTCACAGGTCTGGTCAAACCGAGATCCGAGCGATCCAGTCCTTCCTCCAACTAATCTTGGGTACTTGTGTGGGTGCCTACACAGTCAGTCTAGGGTTTTAAACCATATTTTCTGGGTCAGATTTAGCATCTCATGAGCAGCAAATCACTGCTACACTTTAGAGCTGGCCCCATTAAACAAGTTCTTGGTATGGAAATATGCCCTTTCGCTTTTCAGTTATGTGAGGGCTTGCCCTTTATCGTTTCAAAACATTAAGGCACTATAAAAAAATCATTTGTAAACCACTGCCGCTTCCTGTTTTGCTTCCTGTTTCGTTGCTTCCAGTTTTGTTGCTGTCGTTTCCCTGTTTACCAATAATGCAGGTGCAAATTTGGGATAACAAGCCAGACATTGCAGTACAACAGATACTGTGTAGGCACAGTGTTTATAGTCTGCCTAAATAATGTTTCACACATATGTACTATTTTTTTAATTTGTGTAGATGCTATTATACTAAGAAAGCATCAATACTTTTTGTTTTTAAATATTTAATTTTATTAATATTATTATTAGTTTTAAATTTGCTATAGGGCATGAGAGAGAGAGAGACAGAGAGAGACAGAGGAAGTAAGAGAGTGAGAAAGAAAGCCGCCAGGTTTGGGATGCAAACTGTAGTCTGACCATGTGGGAGTCTAGTGCCTTAACCACCAAGACTCTGCTGGCCCTAAGAAAGCATGAAATTTTGTTTGTTTGTTTTTTTAGAGATTTTTGCTATAGGGTGTGTATGCTTCCCAGAAACAACAGAGTGAGATAGAAAGTAGGAAATCACCTCCCCCTCAACCCCCCGGGAAAAATGGCCACACCGCAATCCCTTCTCCATTTTCCTCACAAAATCTGGGCACGCATACACATACACCAGGTGTGAGTTTCAACCAACTGGTTGTTCAAGTGGAAGTCCAGCTCCTTAACTGCTATGCCACCCTCTGGCCCAGATGAATTCTTTTTTTTTTTTATTTTTTAAATTTTAACTTTATTTATTATTATTGTTACTTTCCAGTTTAATCATACAGACACAGAGAGAGAGGGAAAGTGAGAAAGCAAGCCACCAGATTCAGGACTTGAACCACTGTCGGCCATGTGGGAGTCCAGCGCCCCCAACCACCACGCCACCTGCCGGCCCCCCAGATGAATTCTTAAAACAGGTTTCCTCCACCAGCACGTGGTGTAGCAGTTACCTCGCTGGATTCCTACACAGATGACTATGGTTTGAATCCTGTACTGGTAGATTGAAAATCACGCCGAACACATGTGTATGCGTGCCCATCCAAGATTGCAGGAGGAAAATGGAAGAGAAGGGATAGCTATGTCGCCATACCCCTCACCAGGGGTTGTTTCACACTTTCCCTTTCACTGTCTCTGTCTCTCCCTCTCCCCCTCCCTAGCAAGCACACATGCCTTACAGGCAGAAACCTCTTATATATAAAAAAAGAACAAATTTCCTGACTTCATAGTAGCTTTTTATCATTTTCTCAAGAACTACAAAATTTCTTAGAAAAGTTTGGGAACTATTGTTTTTGAGTAAAATGCAGTGTACTTTGTAGAGGTCACTTGCAGAATTCTAAGAGAATTCATTGGAGATCAGAAAAAAGTCCTGGCATTATATTGATAGCAGTATTTAATAACTTAGTGAGCTTTTGTTATGTGTCAAGTATCATATAAGTGTTGTATACAGTTATACCATTGTTTCTTCTTCTGTTGGGATTTTTGGCATGCACACACATGCACCTGGTGTGTTTTTTAAGCCACCAAGGCTGGGATTTGGACTGTTTTTGATCATGTAGGATCCAGTTCCCTTTACTACTAGGCTATGGGACTGGCCCTTGGTAGCTGTTGTTACTATTCCAGTGTATAAACAAGGAAGAGGGTGTAGAATATGCTCTAGATAACCAATCCACTAGATAGCACAATTGACGTTGGCACCCAGGTCTCTACTTCTGCTTTCTGTACTATAGACTTATTGTTTCCTTTACTCCTCCTTACTTAATAGCCCAGCATAAGCTCTTTTTTTGTTTTGCAGTAGGGCAGAGGGTACATAAGCTTGTGGGAAGTGGGGGCAGGACAGAAGATGACAACCCCGCCCATGGGCAAGGGCATGCAAGCAGTCCTTTCTTCCTTCTTTCAGTTTTTTCAGACATAAATCTGCCATGCTTTTTAAGCTGTCAGGTCCTGGCCTGGTTGATGGTTGACCATATGAGATCAGATTCTTCCTTAACAATCAGGCTACAGGTTGGCTCTCCAGAGTGTACTCTTTTTTTTTTTTGAGAGGTTTTTGCTATAGGGCGTGTGCGCTCGCCAGACAGAGACAGACAGAGGGATAGAAAGTGAGAAATCACCACCCCCGCAATCCCTTCTCCTCCATTTTCCTCTCGGGATCTTGGGTGCGCACGCACACGCGCCCGGCGTGAGTTTTAAGCCACCGGGTCCAGGATGCTAACCGTGGTTGACTACATGGGAGTCCAGTGGCATAGCCATTACGCTAACTGCTGGTTCCATCCAGTGTGTATGCTTAAAGCATCAAACAAAGTCCCAGTGTGTCAATATTGAGTTGTCAGAAAAGTGATGATGCATTTTTTCTGTTTTTCTATGAAAAATGCATCGGGACTTTTTCAATGACCCAGTGTTTGGTGTGATTTAACCTTTATTAACTGGAATACTGTGATGTTAATGGAAATAATAATATAACATAGATTAAGTTAGTCGTTTTATTTTAATCACTTTGACTTTAGATTATTAAATTTACAAAAAAATTCATTTAATTGCAATTAATGTCATATTTCTGCTACTCATTAAGGAAGAGATTACAGACAAACAAGGAGGCAGTGTGTGGTTTTTTTTTTTGAGGGGTGGGTTTGAGAGTTTTTTTATTATAAGGGCGTGTGCGCTCACCAGACAGACAGAGAGACAGAGAGATAGAAAGTAAGAAATCGCCCCCAAGGAGGGATGGCCACGCCGCAGTCCCTTCTCCTCCATTCTCCTTGGGATCCTGGGCACGCACACGCATGCACCTGGCGTGAGTTTTAAGCCACCGGGTCCAGGATGCAAATTGCCGTCAACTACATGGTGGTAGTCTAGCGACGTGGCCATTACGCTCACTGCTGGTCCCGGCAGTGTTTTATTAGTGGGAAGTACTGAGGAGTATATCATTTTCCTTTTTATAAATTTGAGAACTAAACACATATAAAGTAAAATACCCAAGTAAATAGCAACTTTGCAGATTTGTCACACTGCTTTTTGGGTCAAAAGATGTGCATTTTTTCAGTAAAATTTTTATAATCTGTAGTCTTGTATCTTTAAAATAGAGACCTTCTTTTTCTTTGTTTTGTCCTCCCCCACCCCTTTTTTTTGTGTGTGTGACCTTCATAATCTTAGAACATTTTCCTCACTCTGATGAAGTAATGCTACGGCCAGCCCCTGGGGTGTTGGTTAAGGTGGCTGGATCCCTCATGGCCAATTGCATGGTTTGAATCCTGGATCTGATAGCTTGAAAAATATACTGGGTGCATGTGTGTGCCCAAAATTTTATGACCATTCTCCGTGGGGGACAGAGGTGCTTTATCACTTTCCTTCCCTCTCTCTCTGTCTCTTTCTGGGGCGTGCATGTGCACTCTGACAAAATGGAAAAAGAAAAACCGTCCCACGAGCATTTCCTCTCCATTCGTCCCTTGCTCTAGCAACCATTTTCAGTCTCATTGCTATAGGACATAGACATTTCATATACATTAAGGTAGATCTTTGTGTTTGTTTTCTTTTCCAGTATTACATTTTCAAAGTTTATCCACATTGTGTAGGATATGTTGGTGCTTCATTCTCTAGTTATTTAAGTTTGTAGATTTGCTATATCTTGTCTGTGTGTCAATTGAGGACCATTTGGGCTGTTTCTACTTGTCGACCATTGTGAACAGTGGCCACAGTAAAATTCCTGGACAGTTTTGTGTGGACATAGGCTTTCCAAGTATCTGAGGGGTGTGTTGGGTGAAATTGCTGGGCAGAAGTACCTTCATGTTTAACTTGGCAAACTTTTTGCTTTGTTTTAGGAAAACACCAATCATTGTTGTTGGCAGTTTTTGTGACTCCTCTTATTGATCTTCGTTCTGATTTCTCCAAGTTTCAGGAAATGATAGAAACAACTTTAGATATGGATCAGGTATGAAATACATACTTTTTAATTCAAGTTGCAGAGTATTTTGAAAAGCAGAGGCAAATTGGGAAAGTTTTCAGATCTTCTTTAGTATCTGATTTTGTCCTTTTGTGTGGCACCATTGGAGACAGAGGATGTAAGAATAAGTGACAGACGGGAGAAGGATTTTTTTTTGAATGAACATTTGTTTCAGTGGTTGAAAATAAATATACATAGAGGAAATGAATATTGGACATAATTGGCCTAATTAAAGAAAAAAAATATTTCTCCATCCTGCTGGGATCTGGGGCACACTTCCACACATTTTTCAGACTGCAGAAACCAAAGAAAAAC